GGGCTTTATGATCCTGGAAGGTGTTCATGAGGGCCAGTTCTGGGGTGAGTCCTAGTACCTGTTTAGTTATCTTGCATATCTCTGTCCAGAAGGGCTGAATTTTAGGGCATTCCCACCACATGTGGAGGTATGTACCTGTGGAGGTGCAGACTCTCTAACATCTTGGTGAGGTTCCTGGGTGCATCAGCACCAGTTTCCATGGTGTTAAGTACCACCTGTAGGTGAGTTTCAGAGTGAGTTCCCTTCTTTTGGCTAATACGGACTTAAAGGGAGGTTTGGAACACATTCTAGTCCACTGAGTGGGGTTAATTGCAAAGCCTATGTCGTGCTCCCATTGTTCTTTGATTGTGTCAAAGGGGTTTGTGGGATTTGGAACAGTATTTTGTATATTGTGGATACCATCCCTTTACCGTGTCCCTTTGCTGTCAGGAAAAGGTTTTCAAGGTGGACAAGGGCCTAGTGGCTGCTGATTTTACTGCTGGATTGTTTAAGAAGTCATATAGTTGAATGGTGTGTTAGCCAAGGTATTTGGGTGTCCCCTAGTTTGTCTTGTATTTCTTGTTTGTTGTTTTTATAGAAGTCTTTTAGACAGTGTAGGCCTTTAGCTTGCCAGGTTTTTATCTGGAGATTTTGTGGAATAGTGGGTGATAGGTCAGGGGGGTTAGCGGGGAGGGGGATAGTTTGCCTACTTTTCCCTTCTGTGTGAACCTGTTCAGTGTTGTGGGGATTTACTTTAGTTTGTTTTGGAGAAATGGGTGTGCTGTTGAGGGGAAGTTTTTGATGGTTTCTCTCTCCCAGTGGACCCATTGTTTCATCTCATCTTCTCGAGCATACGGAATTATGTGGCGTACTTGGTTGGCGATGTCATATGATTCTATGTTGAGGATTCCCCATCCTCCTTCTGAGGAGGGGAGGTGCAGGTATTTGGGGCTCATTCTTGGCTTTTTGTGTGAGCAAATAAACAAGTATAGTTTTTTCTGCCACTTCTGGAGTTGGGTTGGGGGGATCCAGATTGGGGTTGGGAGTTTGGAATAAATAGGTTAGTTTTGGAAGGGGTATCATTTTGAACACAGCATACTTTTGTGATTATGATGATGAAATCTAATTGCATCACAAAGGGCTGCCACCTTTGGCTCTAGAAAAGGGAATAATTATATCCACAATTAATCATTTACATGACGTAGGAGGATGATTAGACAAGTTCATGAAGGATCAGGCTGTCGTTGACTGTTGGCCATTATGGCCAAGCTCTGCGCCTCCACAGCTGGAAGCAGAAATGCTTCTGAATGCCAGTTGCTGGAAACTGCCAGAAGGGGGCGTGTTCTTGTGCTTGGCTCCTTCATCTGTGTTTCCCACAGACATCTGTTGGGACACCATGAGAACAGGATTCACTGGCCTGAACCAACAGGCTCTTATGTTTTTAGATTGGAGGCTGGGTGAACATATTTGCTTGGCTGACTCCTAGATCTGTCAGTCAATTGGCCAATTAAGTTCTCCTCACTGAAGAGCTTCAGAAGAAGAATATGTGTCAAAAAGAGGAAATATGTGATTTAACATTCAAGGACTGATTTTACATTTGTCACCTGTATTTTCTTCTAACTTCACAACGTTCATGGTTAATACATTTTGCATCTTGCACCAAATACACTAAATATGATGTAAATGTCAAACATCCAGATAAGTTCTAGAGAGGTAGCCCTGTTAGTTGCAACAAAAGCAAGACAGAGTCTTGTGGTGCATTAAGGACTATCACATATTATTTCATAAGGTTTAGTGGGTGCTTCCAGACAGGGCTTTATGCCACAAATGGAACATTCAGGTCCAGTTCTTCTGTGAACATGACTGGCACACAATCATCCTTCCACTTTGTTTTTTCAGCCTTAGATTATTATTTTTCTCTATAGGTATTCCACTGTTTCCCTCCCATACTAGTGGGAGGTCCTTTTCTTTCTGTGCTCAATTTTCTGGCCCTTCCCCCCAGTCATTACTCTCCCACCCTCCACTACCTGTTCCTGGTCTGGGCAGGCATGCATGCAGGTAATTCTGTATCTGTGCACATAGACATTTATTTCCCACAAAAAGTTGGCAAGAGCAAATATTTCAAGCCCCTTGGCTATCATGTTTCACAATGGGCAAAATGGAATCTTGTACTTTTGTGGGAGGGGGGCAACACCCATTTCCATTGTAATAATACAGAAGTCTTGCACAAGACTGATGTTGACCTATACTGAAATCCTGATCCAAGTGCCTTGCGCACGACCTCTATATTAATTTTTTCTAAGTCTCTATGTACTGCTTTTACAGCCTCTAAGCTAATCCTCCCTGTGTGCTGAGATATTGCACGAATAGGTCCTCTGAACTGGGGCAGCATCCACAACATGCCTTAAAAGCATGTTTAAAGCAAACGCCTTCCTGCAAAGAACCCCGGGACCTGTAACTTGCTTAGGGTCCTGGGGATTGTAGCTCATTGAGTAAACTACAGTTCACATGATTACTTGGGAGGTGAAACTATGACTATTAAAATTGTATAAACGTGGTTTAACTGTATGGTGCAGATGCACCTTTAGGTACCAGGTGAAAATGTTCCTATTCATCCAGGCCTTTGGCTGATTAGCATCTGATACCCTTGTGTGTGTGGGGGGGGGAGGGAAATTATTGGTTTGTTTTTGTTCTTCTTCTTATATATTTTGTGTTTTTTATATTGTATTTTTGTGAACCGTCCTGAGATCTAGATGTGAAGGGTGGTATACAAATGTAATTAATAATAGTAATAATAATAATAATAATAATAATAATAATAATAATAATAATAATACTGGTGTGCCTTCAGCATATGGCATTTGGTGGGAATAGGCAGACTCATGCTGTTTGGGTTGCCAGAAGCACAATACAGTGGTGCCTCGCAAGACGAAATTAATTCATTCCGCGAGTTTTGTCGTCTTGCGATTTTTTTCGTCTTGCGTCGGGAAAGTTTTGGAAAAGCTTCAAAAATACCAAAGTCTTTAAAAATCTCAAAAAAGGCTACCACACCGCGTTCTATGAGTTGCTCCTCGAAGTCAAGTCGTAACTGTATTAACGGTGTTAAGAAAAAGGAAACAAACTTGCAAGACGTTTCCGTCTTGCGAAGCAAGCCCATAGGGAAAATCGTCTTGCGAAGCAGCTCAAAAAACAAAAAACCCTTTCTTCTAGCAAGTTTTTTGTCTTGCGAGGCATTCGTCTTGCGAGGTACCACTGTAGCTAAGTTGTGTGTTCACGTGAGGAGTAAATGGATGCATGGGCATGGCCAAGGGGGTGGGGCAGGGAGGGGCAGCGGGCCCCCCATCAATAAAAATACATAGCTAACTGAGGTTCTGCCACCACCCAACAAAAGACCTGCCCTCCCAACAAAAGGCCTGCCCCCTCCCCGCAAAAAAATCCTGGCTACGCCCATGAATGGAAGTAGGGATAATGTCGCTAGGTACTGCCCATCAAAATGTCACACCACCCTGCAAAAAATGTGATAGTGAGCTTCAACAAACTAATAACTGTGGATGTGTAAAGGGTTATTACTTAGCTAATTTTCCAAAGTAAGAGAAAATCTGTATGAAATATAAAAAAAAGAAGAAAAAGTAAAAGATGGCCTTCTGATGCTGACAGTGCAAAAAACTTGTGTGCCTGAGCAGCACTGATTTCACAATAAACCTCCACCTGGAAGCACCCTCTGTTGTAACCAATGCCAGAAACTTAGAGATATCAATCACAACAGAGTTGCTGAAACCTAATGCCACAATGAAGGGACGCGGGTGGCGCTGTGGGTAAAAGCCTCAGCGCCTAGGGCTTGCCAATCGAAAGGTCAGCGGTTCGAATCCCCGCGCTCCCGTTGCTCGGTCCCAGCGCCTGCCAACCTAGCAGTTCGAAAGCACCCCTGGGTGCAAGTAGATAAATAGGAACCGCTTACTGGCGGGAAGGTAAAGGGCATTTCCGTGTGCTGCGCTGGCTCGCCAGATGCAGCTTTGTCTCCGGAAGTGTCTTCCGGAAGTGTCTCCGGACAGCGCTGGCCCCCGGCCTCTTAAGTGAGATGGGCGTACAACCCTAGAGTCTGTCAAGACTGGCCCGTACGGGCAGGGGTACCTTTACCTTTACTTTTTAATGCCACAATGAATCTGTGAGTCTTGAAGATGCCAGATATGAATTCATATCAGGACATGAATGCAAACAAAGCAGATAGCTATAGACACCTGGAACAATCTGGATACTACAGCTCAGCACAGGACCATGGCACATGTATGATTATGATTTATTGGAAGCAATTCTGAGTTCAATAGGACAAACTCTTCAGAAGGCATGCATAGGGTTACAGCTTTAATACAGCACTTGCTATGTGACATGTTGCACCATTCCTAAATGTATTCCCAGTACTGGGTCAGATGAAAGCATAAGAAGCAAACAATTAGTAGATTATGGAAATTGTCAGGGAAAATGTGCAATTGTAACGCCAACTTTCTGAAATTTAATTTGGGAGCGAGCTCCTCGATCTCAGAGGAGCGTGAGTAAACATGCTGAGTTGGGAAATAAAGATGGGGAGACAAAATATTATTCTCTCTCTGCCCGCAAGTTTATCCTAGGATTTAGTACGGATACGTACTAAACAGCATACAGATAGGCGCCGTTCCATCGTGACCCTCACTCGTGGATCAGACCTCAGTGACTGTTGCATTTTCCAAACTCGTAGATTGACTTTCCTTCCCCACAGCCTGTCACCTGCTTGTTCTGTTGCTGATTTTGTCATGGTACTCGCCAACTTTGGATAAATTTAGGACATACACTGAAGGGACGATGGGAGAAATTTGGAGCCAGTGAAAAAGAAAGTCGATTTTGCTGGGTATGTGTGTGTGTGTGAGAGAGAGAGAGAGGGGGGGGGGAGAGAGAGAGAGAGGCGGGTTTCACATAGGGACAGCCCCCTGCCCGGGGTCTGCTCACCAGCAAGTTATCTCTCCGGAGGAGGGGAGGGAACGCGCACGCTGAGGTGCCGCCCCCAGCTCCCTTCTCTCCGCGCATTCGCTCCAGCTATTGCGACGTCACTGCGTTCTAAAAAAGAACCGAGAAAACAATCTGCATTGAGAGAAATAGATACAGTCCGGGTCCTATTTAAAGGGGAAGCTCTGGGCACCCCGGAGTCAGATCCAGCTTCATAAACAAAGGCGAAGGAAGGATTGCGGGAGAAGCCTCCTCAGCAAATATGGTGTCGCCGGTGACAGTGGTGAGTTCCAACAGCCAGCTTTTTAGTAACTGCAAGGCGGGTGGGGAGAGCAAAGGGGGACGACACACACACACACACACACACACACACACACACACGCACACGCAAGTATAAAATCAAGTGTCAAGATTGCAATAATTGCTGCCTCGGGAAGCGAGCCCTGCAGATTCGCGGCTGACGACTTCACAATCGCTTCGGGGTTTTTATTTGGACAGGTAGCCGCTGCCAGAGAGCATCTGACCTACGCTGGGAATCCTGTCCCCATCATCTGTGCCGGCTCCTAGAGTAGTCCCCCGCCACCCCGTAGGACTTCCATCTCCTTGCCCTTTTTCTTTTTTACTCTCTCCTCCCGCCTCCCTCCGTTGCTGGTAGCAAAATGTGGCTGTGATGGCGGTGGAAGAAGGGGGGGGGGTAGAGATTGGAAAGGGGGAAGAGAGACATCACGACCGGATCGGTCGTTGCTTTACATAGCAAGCGGTGTGGGGGCGTGGGGAAGAGGAGGAAACCCTGCCAAAAGTCAATAGGATGAAAACATTGGGCATGTGACTAGGAAGCGTGACTTTGTTGATTTCTCTCCTTGGGGCTTGCCGGCAAGGCACCGTCTGATTGATGGAGAAGATTGCGGGTGGGAGGGATTCCAGTTCACCTCCCCCTTTCTCTGGCGCTTTCCCCCCTCGCCGCCCCCCCCCGACTTGCTTTGCTCCGGAATTGCTGGATGATGGCACCATGCTGCCAATCTGCCTGCCTGTGTGTGCTTGCATGGCCCATATATATGCGCGTGTGTAAGGCATGTGCCCTTCCCATTACGGATTTCTGATCCCCGGGTGGGTGCCCTCTGGGATCGAGGAACAACAGTGCAGAGAAATCAGCAAGCTTTATTTTTGCTTCTCCCCGCCCCCTGCCCACTCCGCAGCTAATAAACATCTTTGTCCGAATGCCATTTAGACTGCTGAAGATGTTTTGAAAATAAAATAAAAATAGGTAGATCTATAGGTATATCTAAATCTTTCTCTCTCTCACTCACTCACTCTCTCTACATATATATATATGTGTGTGTGTGTGTATATATATATATGTAGCAGAATTTTAATCTGGAATGAACGCAGCTATGACTGACTGATAGATAGGTTGCTGAAGCAGAGTGATGTAGTCAAAAGCATGCTAGAAGGACGCAGGAGACCTGGGTTCAAATCCATTGCTACCCATGATGCTTACTGGATTTCTAGTACACACAGCTGTTGTGAGGATAAAATAGAATAATCCTTTGCAGTGCTATTATTCTAGAAAAAAAGGTGCCAGAGCTCACCATGAACACCTCCCTTGTTCTCTTATAATGGCAATAGTGCCCACCATGGGTGTAGCCAAGGGGAGGCAGCTGCTCCCCTCGAATCAATAAAAATACATAGCAAACTGAGGTTCTGCCCCCCCAAATCCTGGCTATGCCCATGGTACCCACCTGGAGCAGAGTTCCATTGAGTTCCAGCTGAAAAAAACCCTGATCCTATGTAGGAACATAGGAAGCATCAAGAGCAGTATTTCCTACACTGACCACCAGCATCTCTCCAAGGTGTTAGGCAAGAGCCTCTCCCAGCCTTATCTGGGACCTTCTGCATGCATCCACCTAGTTTGTCTGTCCTAACCGCAATACGGGACACAGGTGGCACTGTGGGTTAAACCACAGAACCTAGGACTTGCCGATCAGAAGGTTGGCAGTTCGAATCCCCGTGACAGGGTGAGCTCCCGTTGCTCAGTCCCTGCTCCTGCCAACCTAGCAGTTCCCTCGGCCAATAAAGCGAGATGAGCGCTGCAACCCCAGAGTCGGCCACGACTGGACCTAATGGTCAGGGGTCCCTTTACCTTACCTAACCACAATACAACAGGCATTTCATTCCAAATGAAATTAAAACAGGTATTGTAGTGACTTCACTCATTGGGCACTTGAGAATGTGTGCTGTTGTGGTGAGAGCAGACTTTCCCAACCCTGGATCACCAGATGTTGTGGGACTACAACTCCCATCATCCATGACCAGCAGGGGAATGATGGAAATAGTAGTCCAACAACATCTGGGAGCACAAGGTTGAGAAAGGCTGAGCTAGAGTGTTGGGCCTTGGGAGACCAGGGTTCAATTCTCTGCTTAGCCACGAAGTTCACTGGCTTGATATTGGGCCAGTCACTGCCCTTCCGACCAGCCTACCTCACAGGGTTGCCCTGAGGATAAAATGAGAGCAGGAGAACCATGTACACTTCCTTGAGGTTCTTGGAGGAAAAGTGGGATAGGAATGAAATAAAATTGTGATTAATACCTTCTTCAAAGTCACGTGCCTCACTTTCTGATCTTGATGCTCTTTAATTCCAGATGAGTGGTTTGGAGGTCAGCAGGGAAATGTTCTCCGCGTGTGAAAGACTTTATTTTTATTACTTTATATATTCAAGGGCTGATCTTTGCCACAAAAGCAGGTTGTGGGACTGAGATCTGGTGAAGTTACTGCAGGGGGTTGCACAGGGATAATATTTATCTCTGCAAAGAAACAAAGTGTTACCTCTTTGTCCTTGGGTACTGGTAAGAAGACCGAAAGATAATGTTGTTTTCATGTTACCTTGATTAATTTAATTATAAGACTCAGTGATTATCATCTGCATTACTTTTATACCAGGAGGACAAAAGTGACAAATTTAAAATTTAGGAAGATTTTGAAAATTAGGAAAGTATTTTTACTGTTGGGATAGTGTAACATAAGTAAACGTTTTAAGCACAATTTGGTGTTTCCTTCACTGGAGTATTTCAAGGAAAAGCTGAACAGGTGTTTGCCTTAATTATAAGGCTTGTTTTGTTCACTTCAGCAGCACATATACTAAAATTGGAACGATACAGAGAAGATAAGGCAATTTATTTATTTATTTATTTATTTATTTATTTATTTATTATGCCGCCCTTTGTCCAAATATCTCAGGGCAGCTCACAATATAAAAATACAAAATGAGAACACAAAATACATAATAAAACAAAAACTAACCAATGACCCCCCTCCCCCAAAACACATTTAATAGGCCACAAATATTAATCAGCCAAAGGCTTGGTTATAGAGAAACATTTTTGCCTGTTGCCTAAAGAGATGTAATGAAGGCACCAGGCGAGACTCTCTGGGGAGAGCATTTCACAAATGAGGAATGAGGAGCCGCTGCAGAAAAGGCCTATTCTCATGTTGCCACCCTCCAGACGCCTTGTGAAGGAGGAACACGAGGAAAGGCCTTAGATGATGATCACAAGGTCTGGGTCTGTTCATATGTAGAGGGGTAGTCCTAGTGGTATTATTAAATGAACTTTTGTTGTTGTACAAACTGAAGCACATACATAGCTCCTACTTTAACGTCCCCCCCCCCCATTCAGCACTGCCAAAACCTGATATTATGAAAATCATGGGCCAGACTGCTGACTGGCCCCTTTAATTGGGTTTGTTTTAAAGGGAAAGATAAATAGACAGCACCCGTCCTGTATTATGAAACTGTATTATGAAATTGGGAACCCTAACCAGATCCTTCTGGTTAGTTTAATGCCCTCTATTCCGTCTGTGTATTGGAAGGAGATAATACTTTTTCTTTAACTGAATACACAGTGATGTTTTTTAATGTGGGAATGAAGCGAAATGCAGCCTATTTTACTGGTGAAGCTTCAGGCCAATATTTGGCCCTTGTGAGCCTGAAAAGCCTTTTCTGTGTCTTTACCTCATTGCCAATCTTCTTTTAGAACCAATAGAAGATTGTGCCAAAAAAAATACTGTCTGATAAAGGAAAGGTACAGATTATCTCTATTTGACCTTTCACTTGCCTGAAGCAGCTTGAATTCTTTTTTCTCTTTTCCTCTGGACATGAAACACCTGGTTATAAAACATTCTATTCTGTGAACATGACTTATGTAGGCTGGAACTGGAGTTTTTTGCAGGTAGATTTTTGTGGCCGTCTTAGGTATCTATTCTTGTCCCTAATTTTTTCTTCTGTTAGATCTTTTGCTCCTTTTACTGACCAACTTTTAGACCACAAAGACATTTACTAGCTACAGAGCTGGCATCACTGAGCATAAAAGTATGACTTATTTTCGAATAAAGCATACAGAGGACCGCACTGCATATTTTCTGGTAAAACAGATTTGGCAACTGTAATGTCCAAAAGTCCTTGAAGGCTTATTTAATCGTTCATTTTTATTAGGTGTCTGAAAACTGTGCTCAGTACCCCAAATATCTCTAGGGACAGTAGATAGTTAAAATAACTTTTTAGAAAAGCCCTGCTGGAACAATCTAGCCAAACTAAGATACTTTGAAATGTAATGGGACTTACCTCTGGCACTTTGAAAAAAAATAAATATACCTTGTACCATTTTGTGAAGACCAGGGTTGCTTTGAGACTTTGAGTCTTGGGAGGCTATACTATTTTTATAGTATAAAAATACTCTTGATAGTGCTGTATCCTGCCATAGTTCTTTATATCTCAGACCTTGGGCTTTAGTGTGCTGGCACCTGCCCTTCCAATGAACACCAGGCAGGTACCCACACCATTGACATTTAGATACCTGCTTAAAACTCACCTGTTAAGCCTGGTTTTCCCTGAGACATTGTGTTTCTTTTATGGATGTAATTTTCTTGTTGCGTTTATGTGTGAGTATCTGGAGGCGGTTGGAGGCTGGATGGCAGTTAACAGATTGAGGTTGAATCCTGACAAGACAGAAGTACTGTTTTTGGGGGACAGGGGGAGGGCAGGTGTGGAGGACTCCCTGGTCCTGAATTGGGGAACTGTGCCCCTGAAGGACCAGGTGCACAGCCTGGGAATCATTCTGGAGGTCAGTTCTGTGTCCAGGGCAGCTGTCTACCACCTCCATCTAGTACGCAGGCTGAGACCCTACCTACCAGTCTGTCTCACCAGAGTGGTGCATGCTCTGGTTTTCTCCCACATGGACTACTGCAATGCACTCTACATTGGGGCTACCTTTGAAGGTGGCCCGGAAACT